GTGCTTGGGAGAGAGGAGTATAGACGATCAGAGGCACAAATCTGACCTGAACAGCTAAAACTTTCTCAGTAGATCTCCCCCTATGATGTGGGGTGGATCTGATCTGGTTTCCAAAATGTTCTGTATTTTTGGTTTGTGTTGTTTTCTTTGGTTTTTGTTTGTCCATATTAGAATGCAAATCAGAGGTGTTATGTCAATGGAGGTGACCCTCTTGAAGCTGTATTACATGCTTTTCCATTTGGGGGTATATGAAACCCAGAACCAATGAGCCTAGAGGGGGCAGCAAGTAGAATAAGGGGTTCGGAGGGAGAGGGCACAGTGGTGGAGGTGGGATGAAAGGGAGACGATGTCAAGGGGTCCATGTAGAAAGGGAATGTTTGGAAACTGATTGTGGGAGCAATTGTACATTGATTGATTGTTGACATGATTGAAATTTGGAATGAGATGATATATGTATTAAATCCCAACTAATAAATAATGTGGAAAAACCTGTCCACCATGGGTAACTGTGCTACTATTTGAAATATCCATGACGTAGCTTCCATCATCAGAGCAGCAAGCAAGCCACCAGAGCACAACAAACAGACAGGCACAAAAGCCATCCAACTCCACTGTCAAGGAGTTGAGTCTGACTCCCAGCAACCAAGAGGACAGAGCACGACTGCGCCGCAGGGTTTCCAAGGCTGGAAATCTTTATGGAGGCAGCTGGCCACATCTTTCTCCAGCAAAGCAGCTGGTGGGTTTGAACCACTGACCTTTTGGTTATCAGGCAAGTGCCTTCACCACTGTGCCTCCCAAGGTGGAATTGGCAGAGGGAGGTGTGGTCAAGAGTAGGGGGTCTTCTGACTTGTGGAATCGCATCCTTAAGGAGGACTGGCCTCTTTGTACAGCCAGTTTGAGAAGCTAAGATGTAGAACTCAAAATCAAACCAAACGTAACTGCCAAGCTGATACTGACTCTCAGCGTCCCTATAGACCAGAGTAGAACTGCCCTGGGAGTTTCCAAGACGTCACTCTTTACTGGACTAGAAAGCCCTGTCTTTTCCCACAGAGCAGCTGGTGGTTTCAAACTGCAGACTTTGAGTTGAGCAGCCCGACATGTAACCACTACGCCACCAGGCCTCCTTAAGTGCCCATGACATTATAACTTTTCATTATAGCCACCTGGGGCCTATCTTCCGGTTAACAGATGCCTAAGCAATGAGGTTTTCTGAGGTATTTTCCTCACGGAGGTTTTGTGGGTGGAAGTCAAGGTCGGAATGATCAACCCCACCACTCTCAACCCTGCCATCTCTGTGAAGGGGCGATGGCAGGCTGATACATACTTCAGCCACTGGCTCTCCAGGGGGAAGGGGACCCTAACTTGTAGGATTCGCCAATTTCCATGGTGTAAACACCATTGCCTAACAATGTTAGTCAACTGACTCACCACATTCTTGGACATTTAACCACTACCTTTTGTGAATCTGTCGTGGAAGAATGCTCTTTGGAGGCAAGCTTGGCGGTACTTCGTCTTACATTCTTTAGACGTGTTGTCAGGAGAGGCCAGTCCCTGGAGGAGGACATTGTGTTTGGTAAAGAGGGGGGGCAGGAAAGAGAGGAAGCCCCTCCAGGAGATGGACTGACACCGGGGCTGCCACCATGGGCACCAGCATGGGGACCCAGGACCCAGCAGTGTTTCCATCTGTTGTGCAGAAGGATGGGAACCAACTCGGTGGGACCTGACAACAAGAACAACAACAACAATCTTTTGCAAAGCCAGTCTGAGCAATTTCTAGCACCTGGGCCTGCAGGGAGGGCAGAAAAGCCTGCCTTGGGATGGGAAGGCCGCAGGAAAGAGAAGAAAGGGATTCCCTGTCTTGGCAATGCATCGGACCCTCTGTAGACTAAGCAGTGTTTCTCCTAGTGAGACCCGTGGACCATCGGCAACAGTGGAGGTGTTCGTCAAAATGCTGGAGCTCCTGGGCCTCCCTTGGGACCTCATAAAGCAGGGGTCGAGGAGTGGGGACCAGGTATCACTTTGAAACAAGCTGCTCATGTGATGCCAAGAGCTGCTCAATTCTGAGCCCCGACCTCTTCAAGAAATCAGAATGGGCCACTGACCGAGGTTACTGCTACAGAAGCCGCCCTACCTCCATTCCTTCTCCACCATGAAGAACGAAAGGCCAGGCCCGCAGAAGACGGAGGAGTCAGGGAAGGGCCTTGACCTGACAGACTGCAGGGGGGCGGGGGCGGGGGCGGGGGGTTCTAGGTGAGTAAAGTGGCTATGAACTTCAGTCACTGAAGTTACTTCTCCGGTCTGACCACTGGGGTCAGCTGGTGCCAGGTGCCAGGTGCAGAGCCCCACTCTCTGCTGGGACTCTGCCGAGCTCCTGGGTGAGAACAAGCCCAGCAGAGAGGGTGGGGGCTCTGGGGGCAAAGTCTTTGGAAGAAGGGGAGTGAGCTCCCAGCCAGGAGGAAGGCGGCAAGTCCTGGACAAACCCGGTGTGAGGCCCCACTGTCCCTGGATTGGGCCCAGCCAGCAATCTGCAGTCTCTGGTTCTAACAACTTAAATAATTTTTTTATTACAAAAAGAAGGGAAAAC